CGGGAAGGTGAAGACAGAATTTCCAGGCTAGCCCAAGACACAAATTCAGCTTTCACCTCTACCTGCAAGCCAGGACTTCCCAAACACCAGAACTTTCTTACTTTTCTTATTCTTACAGATGAAATTCATCTTAGTATCTTAAATACAGTGGTCTTAGAGAGGTGAGTAAATGAATAATTAAAAGACCTTTCAAACTCATAATTGAATAGCTTCTCTTAAGACGTTCCCCTCAAGCTAGATGTGGTGGCACATATCTTTAATGCCAGCACTGAGGAGGCAAAGGTAGGCAAATCTCTATAAATGTAAGGTCAGCTTGCTCTACAGAGTGAGTTCCAGGACAGTCAGAGTTACCAGAGAAGCCCTGCTCGAAGCACCAAAAGAAAAAAAAAGAAAAAAAGGAAGAAAGAAAGAGAGAGAGAGAGAGAGAGAGAGAGAGAGAGAGAGAGAGAGAGAGAAGATACTACCTTAATTTTCAACAGTCTTATTTCCTCCCAAAGTTTAGAATTATTAAGCCATGAGCTTCATGTTATCCCCCTAGGTGAGCAGAAAATGGCCTACTCTCTGCTCTCTGGGAGATAATACATTTCAAAGTAAAATGAGAGACCACATCAAGAGGAATGAATCAGGGTATAAATAAGCAGAGAACCCCTACATTTGTTTAAAAAGGAAACATTGCAATCAGTAGGGTTAGGGAAAGAAAACTTGAGAAAACGAAGACGGTGAAGTGATGGTCAGAGTGAATTCCCAGCACGGGTCCCTTCAGAAAGAAAGAAAGAGACGAAGATGGATAAAGCGGTGGAAGCTGCTTTAGATTCACTTGTGCAAGTGTCAGAGGTCGCATGACTTGCCTGGACAGTTATAAAGTTTACAGTTATACAGGGAGCTCTCTGGATTGGTAGACTGTGAGCCTTGGCATCCTAAATAACTTACCACTTAAGAGGTAAATGGCCTTGGAGTGGGTTACTCAAATCCTAGCTTTCCCCTGACTCCAAGAGGAAGGTGGGAAATTGTTAGTTTAGAATTGCTGTGATGCAGATAATCTGCTTAGCACAGTGCAAGACATCCAGAAAGGTGGAACTATTAGAAAGCCATTGAAGAGGGCAAGAGCTATCTATGTCTTGTTCGACTTTGTACCCTTACCGCCCAGCTGGGCATCCAGGGGATTATACTGAATGCTTGCATCCAGGTCACTGCAAAGGAGATGCAGATGCAATTTGGAGCATCCCAGAGACCACCAGACAAAGAATGAAACTGCTGCAGGAAACAAGGATAGCAAGACATACTCAGAGATGCTTTCTCGGGCTCTCCTACCCCTCTTACGTTTTCCTTGCTCTACCTCTGACTTTGATTATGAAACTTATGTCTGTCCCTGAAACACTGAGGAGACCTGATAAAGAAAAGAGGCATCACTCATACACAGTCTTCTTTAGATCAGTCTTGGTATAGACTGTTTCCAAAGTAGTGTTCCAGAAATAGAAAACTAAGGTTATTGTTGTGGCTCTGTTGTTTGTAACAGGATCTTGTTAAGTTGCCCACGCTAACCTTGAACTTGGTAAGCCTTTTGCTCAGTCCCCTGAGTTGCAATGACTTAGAAAGACTCCTCAGTGCTTAGCCACAAGTTTGATTTAGACGCAAGTCACATTTTCTTTCCTACTGTGTTGATGATCCTAAAATGCTGGACCATGCATGCTGTGGTATGCACAGTTAAAAAGTAGAAAAAGCAACATACGACATGAAATAAATGGCATCTGTAACTAGGGCAATCCTTTAATCAATTAAATAAGGGGGAGGTCCTCGTTAAGGCAAAAAAACAAAAAGTAATTCAGTTTAGAGGGTATTTACTTTAGGGCAGACACAAGAGGCCACTGTGGGCAGGCTGCAGCCAGCAGAAGCATGGTACTGAAGATCACCCTGCACCTTCTCACTGTCAACATGGGATGTTAGGGGCTAAGGCGGGAGCCGGAAAGACCTGGGTGGGATCATACTTTGCTATGTACTGGTTGCTTATTTGGGGGAGGTGAGGAAGTCACTCTAGGATCTTTGTATTTCTGCTTCCGAAAATATGTATAAAGCAGAAAAGAACAGCTCTTGCAGTCCTGATGAAGCTAAGACACAAGGCACTGTGCATACAAGTGTGTGTATGCATGTTCATGTGGGCGGGTACTTGGAGGTGCATGTACAGGTGGGTGTCAGAGATTGGCATCTGACGTCTTCCTCAATTGACCCCTTACTTTTTTGAGGCAGGATCTCTCACTGAACCTGGAGCCCCAGCTGTGCCTGAGTTCATATGCGAGTACTAGGGATCTAGACTCAGGCCTTCAAAACCAAGTTTGCCCAGCCTCACCCAGACTTCCTTTACTTGCTACTGAAAATTTTTGCCTAAATGGTTTTAAGAAAACAAATAAAATAAATAAATAAAATAAAAATAAATAAATAAATAAAAGCCAGGCAGTGGTGGCGCACGCCTTTAATCCCAGCACTTGGGAGGCAGAGGCAGGCGGATTTCTGAGTTTGAGGCCAGCCTGGTCTACAGAGTGAGTTCCAGGACAGCCAGGGCTACACAGAGAAACCCTGTCTCGAAAATCCAAAAAAAAAAAAAGGAGGAAGAGGAGGAGGAAGAAGAAAAGGAGGAAGATAGGAGGAAGAAGAAGAGGAAGAAGGAGGAGGAGGAAAAAAAGAAACAAGCACAAAATTCCTTTTCTGAACAAGAAGACTGTTGTTGAAAAATATGGTAAAGAATTAGGATGTTGGGGATGAGTGATTCAACAGTAATTAGGATATAATTAAATTGAGATTAAAGATACAATTAGAAGATAGACTTTGGGGTTTTTAAACTACTAAACAACTTGAATTCAATCAGATAACCTATCACTTCAGATAGGTAATGGATATTTTCTCTTTAAACTCTAATCTTTCTACTTTTAACCAAAGGAAGATAAATTTTAGTTTTTAGACCAGAGACCAGTTCCCTGTCTGGAAGCCATGACTGTTATAACAGGAATCAGTGGGCTATTTAATAGTTGAAAAACACCATCAGGTCTAACATTTACCAGCTATGAGGCTGCAGATTAATTAAAATGTCACACTCCTTTGCCTTTAGCAAGCACTTTATGACACTATTGCAGTAACTAATTACCAAACCAAATGAGCTACTTGATGGCATCATGAAAGTGACTGGTGAGATACTGCTTTAAAATCTGGGGCTCGTGCTAATGGAAGCTTTGTAACGAGTGAACTCTTATCCCTTAAAAAAAATGTTTATATCCAAGTTCCATTGATAATTGCGCTTGAAAAGAAAAGGCAAAGGGAGCTAGCTAATCCAAAACTATATGTGGAAATAGTCTATGGAAATTATTACAAATTTCAAAGCTAGTATGCATTACTTTAGAAGGAATAACTGAGATTTGCAAACACACTTGCATCTCAAAAAAACATATAAGGAGCAGGTAAAAATGCTTCCAGCCTGGCCTGACCACCGAAATTCGATCCCCTGGATCCATATGATTCGAAGAGAGAACGGACTTCTTCAGGTTGTCTTCTAACTCCACGTGTGTTCTGTGGCATGCATAT